CCCCGCATGTCTCTGTCCCCTCGCCAGTCTGAGCCCCACTTTCGGACCCGTTGCACCCAACACCACCAGTCCGCCTCAGCATACACTCACAACTTTTGTTCGTCATCTCCAAAGTCCCCAGCTGGGCACCGTTCGCAAACTCCGTCAAGATTCAAGCACAATGTCGGGGTGTCCAGCTGCCACTTCTCTGGGTGCACCGCCTATCAAAAGTCCTCTGTGACCTCCCTCTCCACCACCACCTCCCCACCTCTTGAGGGCTGAAATGTCCCCATACGACTCTCTCGATCCCCGAACCTCCAAGATCTCCACCTGCACGAATGCCTCCTGGTTCTCTGTCCTTTGCGGGGATCCAGTTCCCGAATCCACCCGCCCACTCTTCCTCCTCGCCCCAGCCGACCCACCCGAAAAAAAAAAAAAAAGGGGGACCCTGGAAGCGCTGTTCCTCCCCGCGCAAACCACCGGTCTGCAGGCGCCGGGGCGCACTCCGCTCCCGGGACCCCGCCGACCCCGCCCCCTACGCGCGTCTCCTTCCGGGCAGGGGCGGTGGGCGTCAGAGCCAGCCCCGCGCCCCTGCCCCAGTGCGCCCTGACGCGCGCTCGGGCTGCTAGTGCCTCCGGCTCAGTTGAGCTCACCTGGGCAGAGAGGCCGGGCGGCCAAAGGCTGCGCACCGCGGGCCTCAAGGGGACGCCGCGCTGGCAGACGCGGGATCGCGCCCCGCGGCTCTGCGCCTCCAACCCGGAAGAACAGCCTCGAGCCCGCGGCGACGGCCACGTGACGATAGCGCTGCCCCCACCCGGGGCCCAGCGCCCCCTCTCTGCCCCTGCCTTCTACCAGCCCGCCTCCCCTCCGCCTGATTGCCTGCCCTCTCCGTCCGCGACCGCGACTTCATGAAACGCCGCCTGTGAGCGCAAAAGCCAGTTACCCCAAGGGGCCTTTACACTCCCAGCGACAGCCGAAACCTCTTTGTCTCGGCCTGGACCCCGCGCCCCCCGCCCCGCGCCCGCCTCCGCCCTTTCCCTCCGCCGTCCTTGTCAATCAAACCTGGGGCGGCGCGCTGCCGCTGAAGTTTTCAGGAGTACATTTGTCCTCTCCCCCTGGAGAACCAGTTGCAAAGTGTGATTTCCTCTCTGGTGTCCCACCAGAACGTATAAGCGGTAATATAACTCCTCTGTGGGTACCTGGCTTTCCTCTAGCTCTCTAGGAAAAATCAGAACTTCTGTAATAGAAGAAGACCAAAGGGAAAGGGGAGGAGAAGAGGGGTGGTGAAGGCGGGCGAATAGGGGCCTTGTTTTTCCGTTCTGTCGGGAGAGGTGGAGTTAAATTCCTCAGAAACGAAGTCAAGGCTCGAAAATTAACGCACATCTGCGCACTTGTCTTCCAGCCGCAGAGCCAGCCCAAAGGAGGCCGAGTGCTGCAGTTGGTATTAATATCCAACGTCTGGAACGCCCGCAGCGGACGTTGCTAACTTTCCTGACCTGGCAGAGGCAACACTATTAATGGATTCGGAAACAAATGGTTCTTTTCACATAGTTCTGTTACTTATTCTGCAGGTGTATTCTGAGTAAAAGTGAGAATAAAATATGAAGTGTAAAATCACTTAACCCAAAGTTGAATCACGAAGTGTCAGTAAGGCAACTGCTTTACTTTAATTGAAATAGTTAAGACAAGTAAAAGAATTATGAATCTAAAAGGTATAAGGCAGAACAAGTATTCCTTATCTTTAAAAAGAAATGAACTGCAGAAAACCTCTTATTTTGAGAATGGTGTCTTATGTTTAACAAACACACAAGGTCATTCAACTAAGGGACTCGTAATGAGATCCAAACAAGGTAAACCACTGCTCCTCTCCTGGAAGAGTTCACAGATAGAAAAGGACACGGGCTCCTGTTTTAAAGTAACAACGAAGCATGATGATAATAAACTAAAATGAGTCATATAGACAGGTCCAAGATACTGCAGGTGCAATGAGGCAGGAGTGATGGATAAGGATTTAAAATCAAGCTCTTGCTTTCAAACACTTGTGGAGGCCAGCGATTTCTTCTTTCTGTTTAGGGATTTCAAATTTTTTCCAACGGACATTTGGCTATGCCTGAAGACATTTTGGTTGTCAAACTAGAAAGGCATCTAATGGGAAGAATAAAATATAATGTGTATAATGGTTCACTTACTCAAGGCTGCATTACAGATTTTGCACATGCGCCCAGAAGCCAGAAATGCTGATAACACAGGATAGCCCCTCAACAGAATGACCAGCCCCAACTGTCAGTCATGATGAGGCTGAGAAATCTTGGCTTAAATCAAGGCTCCATATGTTATTTAATTTGACTGGCTTATGGTTATTTCCAATAAGGACATATCCAAAGATAACATACCCCTCTTTGCTTTTGAAAATTATGACTAGTAAGCATGTAACAGTAAGCATATGATAATCTTAACAATAAGCATGTGATTTTTTCCATTCTGCTCTCAAATATTCAAATACAGTAGAATTGTGGTGCCAGTGCTTCAGGTAAAATAATCTGTCATGTCAAAGGCTGTAATTTAGACCTTAAGCTCCTATGTATAAAATTATATTGTTCATAGAGGAAATCCCCAAAGAAAATTAGATTAAGTTGTAAAAGTTTGTTTATAAATTAGTTGCTTCTGAAGCTTAGATATTATCTTATAAAAATTTTATGTTCCCTATTAAGTTGTAACGTCCTTGTCCGTTTTGGTATCTACGCTATCTTCCTTGACTATTTTGGTCTCCACACACTCATCTTAGAATGACACCACGTTTTACATATATACAAATTTTTACTACTGATTGTGCTATTAATGGGTTTTTTTTTTTTAAGCTTTTGTAAAGAGCACATGTCATTGTCTGATAGAGAGGAAAAAAGTGAGAAATCACCTCCCAGAAAAGATGGCCATACTGCAAACCCTTCTCCATTTTATTTCTTTAGGGATTTTGGCATATGTATACACACACACACACACACACACACACACACGAACCCTAGTGTTTTTTGAGCCATCAGGTCAGAACTCAAGTCATGCAGTTGACCATATGAGATCCAGCCACTTTAACCATCATGCCATCAGCTGGCCCAAATGCTTTAATTTTAACTGTGACTTAAAATAAGGATACAAATCAAAATTTAGACCCTCAGAAATTTAGATTTTGTTGTCATAAACACTTAAAAATAGTAATTAGGGAGGCCAGCAGATGGCATAGTAGTTGAAGTGCTGGACACTTCCACATGGCTGACCACAGTTTGAGTCCTGGACCTGGTGGCTTGCTTTTTCACGTTCCCTCTCTTTTTCTGTGTCTCTCTCCAGTAAAATTAAATAAATGAATACATAAAATTAAATAAATAATTCCTTTTTAAAAAAATAGTAATTAGGGCCAGCCCCACAGCACAGTGGTTAAGCCCTGTGCAGAGAGAGTCAGATACCAAATGACTGACCATAGTTTGAATCTCAACTCTGGTGGCTTATAAATCATACTGGGCATGTGTGTATGCCCAAAATCCTGACAAGGTGGAGAAATGAACAAAAAAGGATATGAGCGACCACATCTTATTGAGCCTATTGGAATGTTTCTCTCTGTACAGCAATTGCATGCACCCTCTGGCAATCAATCAATAAATAAAAATAATATTTAATATTTAGAGTCCCAGGCCATCAGGTGGCATGATGGTTAAGCTACTGTATCCTACAAGGCCGACTCTGTGGTTAACATCCCAGATCTGGTGACTTGGCTGAAAATGCAGCAGGTACATGTGTGCATGCATGCCCAAAATCCTGAGAGGAAAATGGAAGAAAAGAGATTGCCATGTGGCCATCTCCTCTAGTGAGTTGATATTTTTTTTTCTCTCTCATCCCTGTCTCTCTGACAAGTGCACACCCCATCACAAAAATCTTTTAAAAAATTAAAATACTAATCTATCAGAGGCAAAAGAATGGAATCTCTATAAAGATGAAATATACCATTAAGATCTTCTTTGAAGCCCACCAGAGAAGTGCTCAATAGCTAAAGTCAAAATGTAGACTCAGTCAGAGAAAATTTGTTCTAAACAGAACTCCAAAGAAGACTTGATACCAAAACTCACAACTGGTTAAAACCAATACAGAGGCATGGTGGTTAAGGACTCTCACGTGGCCCACTACATAGTCCAAGACTCAACCTAGAGACTTAAGAAACATGCTGGATGCCGTGCATGTCCTAAAGCCCGAGAATGTAAAAGTAGAAATTATGGTACGGCTATCTCCCCTGGGGGGAAGGGGTAGAGGAGTAGTTCCTCTCTCTCTCTCTCTCTATCTCTATCTCTCTCTCTCTCTCTCCCTCCCTCCCTCCCTTTCCCTCTCTTTTTTTTTTCTCTCTCTCCCTCCCTCTCTCTGGAGAGCACTTGTGCCCTATGGCAAAAACCTTAAAAAATAAAATCCAGAGAACAGGTAGCTTTAATGTCTTTTCATTGTGGTAATTATGTTAAATAATTATTATTAGCTTGTTATTTTAAGTGGCCTATTTAAGTAATTATTAGCAAAATAAATAGTTTCAAGAGAGACTAGGATTCTTCATATCTAACAATGTACACATACACTTAACAGATTTTCAGTAAACAACCGTCACTAACCTCAATCTTCAACCTCTTCTTTCAGTCCAACTAATCAATAATGTATGATTTTATGAAATAAATATTAACTAACTAAACAAACTAATGTTAATCAACATTAATTTAAAGAAGATCAAGGAGAACTGACATTCACTAGCCAGCAGAAAGTTAAATATTTGGCTATTGGTTTAAGTTATTTAAGTAAAACCAGTTTACTTTTGGAATTATTGTGAGCATCTAAAGAACAAGCAGCTAGTGTACTTCTGCAAATATTATCCTTTCCTGGGCCATCTGATGTCATGGTGGTTAAGGTGGCTGGATTCCACATGCCCAACTGTACAGTTCAAGTCCCAGACCAGCAATTCAAAAAAACACCCCAGGTTCATGTGCACAAGTGCCCAAAGTCCCAAGAGGAGAATAAAGGAGAAGGGAAGGTGATGCAGCCATTCCCTCTGGGGAATGATTTCTCATTTTTCTTCTTTCTCTCTCTCTCTACCTCTCTCTCTGTCTCTCTCCAGCAAGTGCACACACCTTATAATAAAAGACACACACACACACACACAATTAAAAAAACTATTTGAAACTTCAGTTTTGTGAAACATCTTCTCTTTAAAGATCTCTTTATGCTAGATGTTATCATTAACAGAAAAACAAGTCAGAATGTTTCACCTTCATTGATTTTTGTCTTCTATCTTCTAGCTCTTTAACCATTCATTCTGTTCTTCCACTACTTAAATGTGCAAATGTTTCAAACGTTCCCTTAGCCTTTTGTCCTTTTAACTCTAATTTTGTCTCCCTGGCAGTCCAATATCCTATTGTACTAGGACAACTCCCAAAGCTCAATGTCCAGCCCAGACCTCTCTCCTGAGCTCCAGATTCATGCAGCCCACTGCCAGCTGGTCCCCGCAGATGAGTTATCCACAAATATCTCAGACCCGACATAAGAAAATTCTCCTCTGTGCCCCTCCTTTTAGCTGTAACAGAATGTTTCCTGAATGTATTAAGCAGTCCCACACTTCTAACTTTTTACAGACTTTTCTTTCAGTCTGGAATGCTGTCTCTACCCTTTGCAGATTTGTGCTCATCCTTCAAGGCCTAGAATTTGCCTCTTCCTCTACAAAGCATCCAGGAAATCTTGTCCATATTTTATTTTCTCAGGCTTAGTACAGTGCTTGACACATAACAAATGCTAAAAAAAAAAAAAAAATGTTAGTCAGGCAAATAAAAAGGAGATGCTATGGAATAAAGACAAAATTGATTCCCGGCTTTGGCTGAGTATTATATCAACTATAAAAATATGGAGACAATAACTATTTCACAAGTTGTTGTAAAGAGGAGGTAAAAATATTGTGTAGCAAATATATAC